AATTCAGGGGAATTCCCAAAATTTCCCCAAATCCCACAGGACGCGATGCGATTGTACTACGTGTGCACGGCCCCGCACTGCGGCCACCGCTGGACGGAGTGACCCCACCAGTGACCCCAAAAGGGGTTCTGAGACCCCAAAATCACCCCAAGAGTGATCCCGGGCCCCAAAACCACCTCGGGATGGACCCTCAGGACCCCAAAACCACCCCGGGATTGAACCTTGGGACCCCAAAAGTGACCCCAGGACCCCAAAACCACCCCAAGAGTGATCCCGGGACCCCAAAACCACCCCAAGAGTGACCCCATGGTCCCAAAATCACCCCAGGATTGACCCTCGGGACCCCAAAACCAAACTGGGACACCCAAAAGTGACCCCAGGACCCCAAAACCACTCTGGGATGGACCCTCAGGACCCCAAAATCACCCCAAAAGTGTCCCCAGGACCCCAAAATCACCTCAGGATGGACCCTTGGGACCCCAAAATCACCCCAAAAGTGTCCCCAGGACCCCAAAACCACCTCGGGATGGACCCTCAGGACCCCAAAACCACCCTGGGATTGAACCTTGGGACCCCAAAAGTGTCCCCAGGACCCCCAAAACCAGACTGGGACCCTCCCCAGGACCCCAAAACCACCCCAAGAGTGACCCCATGGTCCCAAAATCACCCCAGGATTGACCCTCGGGACCCCAAAATCAAACTGGGAGCCCCAAAAGTGACCCCAGGACCCCAAAACCACCCCAAAAGTGACCCCAGGACCCCAAAACCAAACCGGGACCCCCAAAAGTGACCCCAGGACCCTAAAACCACCCCAAAAGTGACCCCAGGACCCCGAAACCACCCCATGATTGACCCTCGGGACCCAAAATGACCCCAAGAGTGACCCCAGGACCCCAAAATCACCCCGGGATGGACCCTTGGGACCCCAAAATCACCCCAAGAGTGATGCTGGACCCCAAAATCACCTCAGGACGGACCCTTGAGACCCCAAAATCAAACTGGGACCCCCAGAAGTGACCCCAGGACCCCAAAACCACCTCGGGATTGAACCTTTGGACCCCAAGAGTGACCCCAGGACCCCAAAACCACCCCAAAAGTGACCCCAGGACCCCAAAACCACCCCAAGAGTGATCCTGGGACCCCAAAATCACCTCAGGATGGACCTTTGGGACCCCAAAACCAAACTGGGACCCCAAAACCACCCCGGGATTGAACCTTGGGACCCCAAAAGTGTCCCCAGGACCCCAAAACCACCCCAAAAGTGACCCCAGGACCCCAAAACCAAACTGGGACCCCCAAAAGTGACCCTAAGACCCCAAAACCGCCCCGAGATGGACCCTCAGGACCCCAAAACCACCCCAAGAGTGATCCCGGGCCCCAAAATCACCTCGGGATTGAACCTTTGGACCCCAAGAGTGACCCCAGAACCCCAAAACCACCCCGGGATGGACCCTCAGGACCCCAAAACCACCCTGGGATTGAACCTTGGGACCCCAAAAGTGTCCCCAGGACCCCAAAACCACCCCAAAAGTGACCCCAGGACCCTAAAACCAAACTGGGACCCCCAAAAGTGACCCTAAGACCCCAAAACCGCCCCGAGATGGACCCTCAGGACCCCAAAACCACCCCAAGAGTGACCCCAGGACCCCAAAACCACCCCAGGATGGACCCTTGGGACCCCAAAAGTGACCCCAGGATCCCAAAACCACCCCGGGATGGACTCTCAGCACCCCAAAACCACTCCGGGATTGACCCTTGGGACCCCAAAAGTGTCCCCAGGACCCCAAAACCACCCCGGGATGGACCCTTGGGACCCCAAAAGTGACCCCAGGACCCCAAAACCACCCCGGGATGGACCCTCAGGGCCCCAAAACCACCCCAAGAGTGACCCCAGGACCCCAAAACCATCCCATGATTGACCCTCGGGACCCAAAATGACCCCAAGAGTGACCCCAGGACCCCAAAACCAAACCGGGACCCCACAACCACCCCAAGAGTGATCCCGGACCCCAAAACCACCCCGGGATTGACCCTTGGGACCCCAAAAGTGACCCCAGGACCCCAAAACCACCCCGGGATGGACCCTCAGGACCCCAAAACCAAACCAGGACCCCCAAAAGTGACTCCAGGACCCCAAAACCACCCTGGGATTGAGCCTTGGGACCCCAAAAGTGTCCCCAGGACGCCAAAATCAAACTGGGACACCCAAAAGTGACCCCAGGACCCCAAAACCACCCCAAGAGTGACCCCAGGACCCCAAAACCCCCCCAGGATTGACCCTTGGGACCCCAAAACCAAACTGGGACCCCAAAACCACCCCAAAAGTGACCCCAGGACCCCAAAACCACCCTGGGATTGACCCTCAGGACCCCAAAACCAAATCGGGACCCCCCAAAAGGGACCCCAGGACCCCAAAACCACCCCAAGAATGATCCCAAAAGGAATTCCCCAAATTCCCCTCCCCCCACCAATTTTCCCCATTTTTTTTTACCCCCATAAATCCAAACAGACTCCACGATTTTTTTCTGGGAATTTTTTATTCCTATCCACCAGAATTTTTTTGGGGCATGGGGTGGAGGGGATTAAATAAGAGAAGGGTGAAATAGGGGGAGAATCCCAACATTTTGGGGGAATTTTTTTTTTTTTTGGGAATCTCCCCCCCGTTCATCTGGAAAGTAGCAAAAAATTGGGGGGGAAAAAAAAATACGGGATAAAAACTGTGCCATTTATACAAATATAGTGTTTTATAAAGAGATGTTTTGGGAATTTTTTGGGGGAATTTCTGAGGAATTTGGGGTTTTGGAATTTGGGGG